TTTGAAATGCGGAGCAGTAATTAGCTTCCAGTAATGACCACAACCTGATAATTACCTTTTTTGTATGGTTAAAGGTGCCTGTCTGGCGATGGACTTTCACGATCTCGAGTACGGCTGCGTCGGTGCACCGCTGGACGGCGTCAAGATGAGACTGAAGGACTGGCCAGAGGGCGGCTACTCTGTTAGAGACAAGCCTTATCCTAGGGGCGAGGTGGTCATCGGCGGAGGCGGTGTGGCTCGTGGCTACTTTAAACTGCCTCGACAGACCGAGGAGGCTTTCTTCACCGATCGAGCCGGAGTTCGGTGGTTTAGAACTGGCGACATTGGGCAGATCTACCCAAATGGAACCCTCAAGGTGATTGATCGACTGAAGGACCTGGTCAAGCTGCAGAACGGCGAGTACATTTCACTTGGAAAAGTAAGCATGTTTGTGTTGTTATCTTCCTTTTCTTCTTCTTCCGCTCACCTTCAGCAAGGTTCACTGATTCTCTAATGTAACTTTTTTGTTTTTTGTGCTGCTTTACAGGTGGAATCAGCCCTGAAAGGCTGCCAGTATGTAGACAACATTTGCGTGTACGGAGGCCACTTCTCCGCCGACCTGGTGGCAATCATCAGTCCGAATCGTAAGGCGCTGGATGAGCTGGTGCAGCGCCTGGACCGACGCTCACTGTCGGCCAGTCCACTGTCTGCACAGGTGGAGGACGAGCAGGTGGAGGCGGAAGTGTACGAGGAGATTGTCAGCACGGCCAAGGCCGCCGGTCTGGTGAAGAAGGAAATTCCGGTGCGCATTAAGGTGGTCGCGGAGACGTGGTCGCCCGACAACGGCATTCTCACTGCCGCCCTCAAGCTGAAGCGAAAGACAATAGAGAGCACCTACAAGCGGACCATTGAGGAGTTGTACAGTGAGCGGAAGCAAAGGAGCAGTAATGGACGCCGCAAGAGCCATGACCAGAACAACAACGCACTGGCCAACAGGCAGACGACTGATGTTAATGGTAGTAATGGCAATGGCAACGGCACTCTGACCAATGGATCATCAGCCAATGGCAGCAGTGGCAACCACTCGACTCAGATTAACATTCCCCCAGTCTAGACAGTCTTGACTTGCTAGTTTTCACAAACACAAAAAGTTCCTTCTCATTTAGAGTTCCCTTTCACTCTCACTCGTAGAATCCCCTTGCTGTACATAGTCTGATCAGTTTGATCAGTTTGATAGTTTTGCCCTCATTTTCTTCTTTTTGCTACACTCCTTCTCATTTGCTCTTTTGATTTTAGTGTCTCAATTTGTACCATTTTCAGCTGCTTTTGACACTTGTATTTTTTATTAACTTTCCTGATCATCAGTGATGATGGCAGTGCCGCCAGTGATCACTGTTTTGTGATGCTTCAGTCAATTCAGTGGTGACATTTCAATGCATAATACATACAACAAGTAATAAAACAAACTAATATTAAACTTTTGTGATGCTTTGATTTATTGTCTTCTGTAGTCAATAGTGGTCTTATCACTTTGTAGGTTGCTTTTTGTACTGTTTGTACTTTTTGTTGCGCAAATGCTGGAATGATTACGATTCTGAGAAATAGTTCACTTCAGTGCAACTGCGCTCACACTTTGACCGATAATTTCAACACTAACAGGATACACTACATATCAACTTACTTTGGCAAGGTGACAGGAACACAACAGAAAAAGGGATTACTTAATCATTTAAATTTGTTCAATTCTCAATAATTCACTAAACTTGTGTAAATCTGCGGATATCCTTTGCTAGGTACAGTCTACGTAATGTACTTTAGATAGTGGTCAATAACGGTTTTTATTCTTTTTGCTTTACCAAATATACCACCTTAAAGGCAATACCTTTTTATTTCTATTAGTCAGTATTTGCATTGCATTGTACTCCTGAGTGCAGGCACGTACTAAGCCACCAAGCTACAGAGAGCTCGCAAGGATGTCGATTACCCCGATGGCAACAATTAACAACAACAAAATATAGTACACTGTTTGACACTGAGCGTCGGTGCTTTTGCACCTGTGGCTGACGCTGTTTTTTTGGTAGCCCACAGTGACTGTTTCTTGTGGCAGTCACTTTCCCTTTCGCTTGATGTGATGCTTTTATTGGCCCCCTTCTTCCGAAGAGCAGGTGTGGGAGAAGAGAGCGGTGGCGTCGGCGGTGGCGCTCCTCTTCTCACACAAGTGTCGTAACCGATGATGACTCAGTGTGCCGTACTATGGTACGGAGGCCACAATCGTACAGGATCGTCGAGACAGACAGACACATTAGCAGTAGTGTGCAGTTGACTTTGCTACCACCTACTGACTGGTTGGCTAGTTCATCTCGTCCTCCCCACCTCTGTTGTGTACCAAACCAGCACCATTGGTTCCACCGGTGATGATGATGATGGTCTGACCCCCTGCTGCCATTATTGTCACCACATTTACCAGTGATTCAGTGCTAGATGTACTCGGAACTTTTCTCCTTCCTTCTCTTTTTTGCTGCCTTTTTTGGTATGCTCCACTGGTTTATCACTGTCCACCACTAGACATCTCTATCTCTATCTGCTACTTTTGTTTTAATTTGGTGTTGCTGCTGATGTCGCCGGCTAATCTACTTAATCACCTTCCACGGACTAGATCAGTATATTGTGCTAGTTTGGTTTTTTGTGCGCTTGCTGCTGAAGAGGGGGCGCTTTGATTTGCCGTTGATTTGTCAAATATTTTTTGGCGCTTTGGACTTTTGATCTGTTACACTGTATCAGCGATTTTAAATTTTTTGGTGAGTACCACTGCAATTGCAATTGCATTTTCATTTACAAAAATTTACCTATTATCACTTTTGACGTTTTAATATGACTGTAGCTGCATTACATGACCATTTTCTAAGCTTCAGTGTTTTATCTTTTACTGTCAGTGCCTTTTCAGTACTTTCAACTTCAGTATATTTTTGCAAAAGACATGTTTCAAAAGACATTTTTTGTTGTTTGTCTTTTATGTAACCACAGTGTTTGCACGCTCTTCCCGTGAACAGTAAGTTTTCCGCTGTTTGCTGTTTTCAAACGCCAGTTTTCAATTTTCTCAACTTTTGTTTGCAATCTTTGCTTCAGTGAATCATACAAAAATAATATAAAGTTTTTTGCAACATTTCCACTTCATTCAGTGGTGTTGTTAGTTTAGTTAGCGGAATTGCCATCTGTAAATCATCCTTCCCCTTTTCTCAGGACGTTGCAAAGGCATCCTCACAGTGTCTTCACAGTGTTGATCACTCAGCGGGAATTCTTTTTTCTGTCCCTTCATCATCAATTGTTGCNCTAGTTTAGTTAGCGGAATTGCCATTTGTAAATCATCCTTCCCCTTTTCTCAGGACGTTGCAAAGGCATCCTCACAGTGTCTTCACAGTGTCAATCACTCAGCGGGAATTCTTTTTTCTGTCCCTTCATCATCAATTGTTGCAATATTGACATTACACTTTGACAGTTTCATTTTGGTTTGATAGTGCAGTTTTTGCATCGCCTAGGTGTCCAAGCTTCCACCTGTGTTCTTCAGGTGTTTCAAGGTCTTCTTAATCGTCCCGGAGAGATCGCTCTCCACCTCATCTGCCACATATCAACATCCTTGGTGACGTTTACTTTCCCCAGTTGGACTTTGTGCAAACTGCTTTTGTCTTTGCGTTTGTCAACTTCGACTTCTTTTTCCCTGTATGTTGACGGCTATCGCTGTATATTAATTTGATCCCCTACCCTTTGACCCTGATAATATTTGTTCGTTTGCTGATTGCATAATCAATCTCAATCGTAGCACATAAATGTTCATGTTCAATGTCCATCAATGCATGACACTGACACAATCTCCCAGTCTGTTTATTTAAAATTTCACATTTGGTTTGATGCTCGTGTTTGATGCATTATTCGCACTATTTGACAGAGCTGATCACTGGTTTTGTTTTTCCCTCATTTGTCATTTGTGGTGTCTGTAGTGGCACGTTTCCTTTCTCTCTCACTGTTTCAAGATATCAGCAGCATAGACCACGGTGGTGGTAGTGGTGATGTCGAACACTCGTGAGGTGTAGGAACAGCGACAATTGCAAAGGAGAAAAGTGGAAGCAAGCCGTGACGTTGGCCATTTGTGGCGCCCTTATGCTGTTGCAGCAGCAGCAGCAGGAACTACAAAAAAATCGCCTCTGTTCTCTTATTTTGTGTTCTCCGTTCTCGTCTGTCACTCTATTGCTCTCTCTCTCCTTCTCTTTTTGCCTCCCATTTTTGCTACCGCGAGAGCAACACCAATTTAGCGGACAATCGCCGCCACCGCTGACAGCAGTCGACATCAGCAGCAGCAACAGAGACAACAGCAGCAGCCACTGTGAACAATACCGTGCGGCGTGTGCATACAGAAACAGAAACAGAAACAGAGACAGAAAAGAAGAAAGACAGCGGCAAAAAGTGAGGCTGTGTGACACTGTCGGCTCAGTGAATGGAGGTCTGCTCTTGATGGTGGTGGACAGCCTGCACACAGTCGGTGTCTCCGTCGTCAAACAAGTAGTGTATATATTGGCCGTCTTCTTCTCCACTTTTCTTGCTCTTGGCTGTGGCCACTTGAACCAAACAGACAGACACATTAGCTAAGAGCACAGTCGTCCACTTGGCTTCTGTCGGAGTGACTCACCACCATCACCACCACCGAATCTCACCACCACCACCACCGCCTATCATCGTTGCCATGCTTCCCGTCGGCAGCCCCTTCTAGCTTCCACTGTCACCACCAACTCCAACATCAACAGCAGCAGCAACATCAGCACTCAAAGCGCGATCAACATTTTCCAGCAGCAAGTCAGACACAGCATTGCTGCCCACCGAACCGAGCAGAGAAAACGCACCTCTTTTCTCCGGATTGGTTTGAGCGTCGTCCGCTCGAACCACCCTCATCGACGACCACCTGTTGATCTGATTTGGAACTATCCGTGATCTTATACTAGCACCGCCGGCACCATTAGCACCCGCAAACAATGGCCAATCTTCAAAGTGAGAGCTCCAACCATGGACTGCGGTACATGCTGTCGCAGTACTGGCAAGACAATGGCAACCCGCGGACGGCCGGCCTGCCGCTCATTCGCGAGGGTCCCTGGTTCACCTTTTGCGTCATTGGCGTGTACCTGCTCTTTGTGACTAAGGTCGGTCCGGCGATGATGCGCAAGCGAGCCGCTTATCAGCTTCGGCTACCGATGCTAGTCTACAACAGCTCAATGGTAGTCATCAACTTTTACTTCCTCTTCAAGTCTCTGGTATGTCAATGGTGGTTCCTTTCCCATTTTTATCCTTCCTTTCTCTCTTTCTCCATTTCTGATGATTTGAACATCTTCTCCTTTTTTCCACTCCTCCCGACTTTAGTCGTGGCTAAACTACGGCCGTGAGCTGGTCAACTTCAAGTGGCCCGAGTGGGAAACCAGCGACAAGTTCAACACTGAAGACGCCCGCGAGCAGGTGTGGTCCTTCTACCTGTACTGGCTGACCAAGTTTGTCGACCTCCTCGACACCATCTTCTTTGTGCTGCGGAAGAAGGACCGCCAGATCACTCACCTGCACCTGTACCACCACTCCATTGTACCGATCCTCGGCTGGTACTACATCTGGTACGTTTTTGGCGTGCCTGCCATCAACCTCTTCGCCTTTCTCAACTCCTGTTGTCACACTATAATGTACTCCTACTACGCCCTCTCGGCGCTGGGACCGCAAATTCAGCCGTACCTGTGGTGGAAGAAGTACATCACCCAGATTCAGCTGCTGCAGTTTCTCCTGCTTGGCCTGTACGGCGTCGTCGTTTACATCTGGGCCATCAATTATCCGCCTTTTGCCTTCTGGCTCGCCACTAGTCAGCCGCCCATCTTTTTTGGTCTCTTTGCAAATTTTTACATTCAGGCGTACCGGCAGCAGCAGCAGAAAATTCAGCAGCATCAGCAACATCAGCAGCAACACCAACAGCTGTCAGAGAAAAAGATTGAGTAGAGCAGCAGTGGTAGTCTATCTCTGACAACTTGCGACAACTAATATGTACCATAACTGTGACGTATACTTTACTTACTGTTTTTAAAATTTTGTTGTAATAAATGTTACAGGCACGCACTGCTCTGACGCAATGTGTGTCCACGCACTGCCAGCTCAAATTACAGGGTGTAAGTGAAGTCAAGATCGGAAGCAACGTATTTTCATCATCATCATCATCATGACACTACCTGTTGACCACTGTCTTTTTCCTCAAAACTACCCTGAGATGAGAACAGCGTGACCACTTCCACGTGTGCATTTCCGCCATTGTGCCACGAGAGTGGTTAGCAACAAAAACAGCAGCAGCAACAGCGACAACAGCAGTACTCTGATTGTCATTGAAAATCAGGGAAAGGGAAGGCGACGACGACGCCAGTGACTACAACTTGTCTCAGAAAAACAGAAAGTAATGCAAAGCAAAAGACAAGACGCAATCTGTCAATGGTGAAGAAGAAAGAAGAAAAAAGGCAAAAAAGTGCTACTACTGTTCCACAAGAAAAGCAGTAAAAAGTAAAAAGGGAGAACTGTGCAGAGCATTACACTGCAGCATTTGCAACACTTGCACCCAGTGCCGACTTCTTTCCGGTCAGTCAGTCTGTCTGACTATCCTTGGATGTGCTTAGCAAGTCAAGCGAACTGCCGCCTGCAATTTGTGCTTTCTGCCAGATTACCACTCTGCTCGGTTACTAGGGGTGAGATTTGCACAATGCAACAGCAGCACCCAGTAGTCATGCTGCCTGTGCACTAATTAGATTAAGCATAACGAACGCAGCATAATTATTCCGCTGATGGATTCCGCTGACGCGGCCTACGTCGCTGCTGCTGCTGTTTTCTCCTGCTGATCAGCACTATTGCCTACTGTTGCCATTGAATCTTTTGTCTCCTGGCTGTACTACCGTGAAAACAGTGTACAATCTGGTGATAATTGCTTTTACTGTCACCAGTAGCACTACTACTACTACTACTGCTACTTTTACTACAACCACTTCCATTTGCGCTGCTTTTGAAGGCTAAACAGTGCTCAGTAGTGCTCTCACTGAAAATTGGTGCACCATGCTACCGCTCTCTCACCACCACCACCTTCTTCCTCTTTGCTCGTGCATTTTACGTGCACTTTGGTGGAGTAGTGTTCTTTTCATTCAAATTGGCAGTCTGGTGGTGCTGAATGTACTTCCAACCACGAGTTGGCTGCAGCTGTTGCTGTTGAGGCTGCAGTTGCGACCTCGAGTTGCGACTATGAACCAATTAGCAGTTGGTGGTGGCGCCCACTGGTCGACCACCAGCAAAGAGGGCGAAGGAAAGAGGAGTTCGCAATTGGGTAGTGCTGCACTGATTTGATACAGTCTGTGTGTAGTAAAAAGAAAGTGCACATCGGCGACAATGGTGCTGACAACGACGAGAAAAAAAGAGGAGAAATCGCCACAGACGACACTGGCTGGTGATGCCGGTAGTGTCAGTGAGCTAGTCACACTCACTCAGACAGCCAGTTGGATGTTGCCAGTTGTCGTTGTCATTTTGCTCTCTCCCTTTCTTTCTCTACTTGTTGCAACAAAATTAAAACACACACACTCAAACACATAGACAATAGATATTAATAGATGGTAGGATATTATTATTGCTTACAATACACACCAGAAAGAGAGTGCACTCACTCACTCACTCTCTCTCTCTCTCATACATCAGCAGAAGCAGCAGCCACCACTAACCGACCAACTAACAAACGCCACCGCAGCCACTTTTTGCTGCTTTTTGTTTGATACACTTTTGTGTCACTCTCTTATTTTTAAATATAGTAGTCACCCGACGCCTTGTTTATTTGCGGTATGAAACCGACTGTCACCCAGCTGTACAGTGCTGGAGAGTGAGTGGAGATCGTCTGCACTCCACTTGTGGTGATGCTGTTGCTGAATTATGATGATGATGTTGGTGAAAAGATGTGCAAAGTGAGATGCCGCCGTAACCGCCGTCTTTTGTGACATTGTTGACATCGATTCTGTTTAGAAGCAGTAGTGTGTGTTTACACTTATAAACTCTCACTGCCGGTATTGTCTTTCCGCACTGTACTAGACGCACACGCCAGTTTTCTCAAAAAAGTTTTGATGGCTTTTATCTGCTGCCGCATCACTTTGAGTTTCTACTGATTCTTCTTTGAGCTGAAACCCTCTACAGTCTTACAGCCGCATCCATTGTATTTTCGTCTTCTTTTTCTGCTTCTTTTCCTCTTTGCATCTGTCGATGTCATCAGTTATCGGCGGGTTTTCTCTTCTCAATGTCGACTTCCTCTTACGGTAAGTATTCCTTTTCCCTCTTTGTACTCCTCCTTTTCTTCCTTCTGTGGTTTTCGTTTCCTTTCACTTTTCCACTCCACGTCTGTCAGTGTGCTCCACTTTGCCTTGCACTTCATATAACAACTTTATTCATTCTTTCATTCATTGTCGGGCCGACCAGCAGCAAAAGAGCAATGACTGCTGTCGCTGGTCAATTGTTTCAGTTTTACCCGAACAGCACCACCACCAATTGACGATTGTAATTGTAATTGGCAGCCAGTGTATATCAGTGCGGCTTTCTTGTGTATGTTTTTTCCTTTTCTTTGGCCGTGTTTAAAACTTTGCAGTAACAATATTGACAAAGCAAAGCAAAGCTTTTCTTTGCTTTAGAAAAGTGCGACAAAACTGATTTGGTGTGTGTAGCCATAACTACAGCTGTTGCTGCTGCTTCTGTTCAGTAAACAAACTGGCCGCCCATTTTTCTGAAGGCTGCTAACTGCAGTCGCCGTCGTCTCTTGTTTAAAAAAGAAGAAAAGAGGTGAACTACAAAGAAAGTACACAAGTAAGTAAGCTGATAAACTGCTGTGGAAGTGTGTTTAGTTGTTCACCAAATATGCACAGTCTTGAAGACATTTTTCAGGCAGCAGTAGCTGCACCTGTACCAAAAAAGTGTTTGTCATTTCTGGTTGCGTCTTGTTGTTTTTTCCGTTGACCTTTTTTGTCACTTCACTAATTTTTCATGTTAGTTTCTCTATTTATTCAATTTTCACCAACTTTTGTTTATTTTAATAATGTGGCAGTTGTCATCACAGTTTTTTCATTTGTGCTTTGATCATCAGCCATGATTGATTTGCACCTTTATTGTAACTCACGTACCTTGTTCTGCAACATCCTTTTGTGCTAAATTATTGTGCAGAAAAAAGCATTTTTGCAATATCAGTTATGATAAAATTGGGTTGAAAACATTTCAAACTAGGGGAAGGGCAATGAGCCATTGAAAAACAAATAATTTCCCCCTTATTGCACTGAGCGAATCATTTGTGTTCCCGTGGCAGTAATGTGATTGACTTTGTGCCTGGCGACAAACAAAATCTCTCATCAGAGTTGCACAACATTTGGGGTAAAAACAGGAAAAATCCATTTTGCAGTACACCTTAGTTTTACCTCACCTTAGATCAATAGGCGCATTTAAAGTGGAAAAACTGCTGTTTTTTCCGAGCCAAGTAAAAAAAGTCACACCGAACTTACGGCAAACGCACTTTGAGAGAGAATTCCTCGTTCACACCGGAGTTGTCAGTTTAAATATTTACGCTCGTAATTACGCGCGCACGCTCTCCTGCACTGGCTAGGTAAAAAGCGTTGTACGGTTTTGCAGGTGAAAAAAAGTGAAAGGGTGAGAGAATGGACAATATTTGCAGAAGTCACGTAATAGTGCACCGGTAGAGCACACACACATAGCTGCAAACCCGCAAGACCACCCATTGACGACCACTGGTCAGCCTGAAAGGGTGCTGAAATCTCTTTTTTGAGGTGCATGGGAAAAGGGACAGACACAGAGCTACAGACAAATCACGTCTGACTGACAGGTTCCTGTCACTCCTGTGTGGGCCTCTTCTTGTTCGCCGTAACACGCCTAATCACTGCCTGTTCTTTTTCTTGTTCCGCTCACGACCATNTGGTGGTGGTGGTGGTGGTGGTAGCGGTAATATCGTCCAGAGTCAGAGACTGACAGACAATCAGGCAGACTGTGTGCCACTGTCGTTCCACATTAGCGAAGCAATCGTTCAGCCCAGCTTGTACTGCTTGTTCTACCACAGCACTGGCGGACGACACTGGTCACTGCAGTTTTCTGCTACAAAAACAAATACTGAAAACAGTGTTTTTGGTCAGTCAGCTGTCTCTCTGTCTGACTCTTTTCTGCTTTCAGTGTCATTGGCCAACACCAGAAATAGCAGCAACAGCAGCAGTGTTCACCTTCTTTCTCTTTGAGCACTAATTCTGAGCAGCACTTTGCTGGTGGCTAATCTACTGCTTCCCCTTTCTCCACTTCCACGTCCTGTCTCTTACCTTACCTTTTGCCTTAGTTTACATTACTGCTGCTAATAAAAGACTAAGTGAAATAATGGTCGTGGTGGTACAGTAACGAGTAGTGTCCACTACTGCTCAAAGCGGAACAACAGTAAGACACAGAGAGAGGGAGACTTCCTTCGATTGTTCCTCAAGCCAGCGGCAATCTCTCTCTGATCTACTCTTGTCTGATTGTCTGTCAGACGGACTGACAGTGACATTTAGTTCTTTGCTGGTTGACGCTTGCTCTCTCACTCACTCCCAACCATCTTGGCACTTTCATTTTTTACTCTCACTCGCTCCCTGAAGTGTCCACCACCACCACCACCACTGTCTACTACGGTGGTGTCATTTTCCCTGTCTGCAGTTCGTCGGTTGTGTGTGTGTGTGCAATCTATCTACTGCTTCTGTTTTTGCCTACCTGAATG